TGCACAAAGATATAATTCAGGAATAAAAAAAAAGCTGCAACACAGAACATATATATATATATATAAACTCTAAAATAAGCCTGCTTTGACTGGTTAATATATAATATTTTCACTATGTCAATCATCAAGTCTTAATAGTAAGTATTGTGTTATCTTTTAGCTTTTAAAGGTTAAAAAATTACACATTGGCCTTTATATCCCAACAAGGGTGATGCCCGGTTTATTAATTAATTTATTTATTTACTAAAAGCACCCGAAAATTATATCAATAAGTGTTCCAAATCAAAGTACTTACGTTTGTGAAATCCTGCAAAACAAGAATAAAAATTGATAAGAAACAGTAATTCACCAAAAAAGGTAATTCTACATCCATTTTAAGGAATAACCATAACTGAGGATTTCTTATTAGTAACTAAGTAAAAAAATTGCTTGTAAATAATCTGATATGGTGTTTGTAAAATGGATAAAAGTGAATATTTATCAATATGTGTTACGACTGTAACCTTAAGCAGTAAAGCACATTCTTGGCATAGGCAAAGTATATCATGTAGACCATAGCTTACAATAAATGATAAATAAATGCACACAAGGTTTACAAAATATATGTATAATGCATAACTGTCCTTAATGCAACATCTGCGTGTACACAGCTCTTGATGGGTAAATCACTTGTTACAGTTATATACTGTCTCTCCATGCAGCAACTGTCAATGCATTTCTTATGACCAACTTTACACAGTTTACAGAGCAATTATTTCCTCTGAACATAACATTTTCTTCTTCCTTCCTCCAAAACATAGCATTACATATCCCGCAATTGGTTACTGAGAGTTCATTTATTTGAGATATTTTACTTCAAGATGCAGTGTGTGTGTGTGTGTGTGTGTGTGTGTGTGTGAGAGAGAGAGAGAGAGAGAGCACTCACTGGTTTCTTGGCCAGCTGAGGGTTGGTCAACAGTATCTTGGCCATGGGATGATAGTCACACTTAGAGGACAGCATCATCCACTCTCTCTCCACATCTGTCAGCTGGAATGTTATAAGAAATATCAGTTTTCATTCCCAGTTTCCACAAGATTTAGACATAAATATAATCCCATTTTCCATATTTTCTATACTCTCAATATATTTCTATTGATCAGTTGTTAAAATATACCTACGTAATTTATTGTTATGTTTCCTTGGTTTATAAATAACTTTAATTTTCAACTCTTTTTCTGTAATTTTTTTCTACACTGCTAAGTTGGAAAATCATAACAAAATGTTTGGACTTTTTCCTAATTTGCAAATCATATAATTTCAGCTCACTTTCTTTGTTTCAACTTAAGTCTGCTAAATGTCCTCAACAACAGGGCCTTTTTTGTTTTTTTAAATGCTTTTTACTTCAGCAAGAACCTGCTTAAATGCCCCCCCCCCCCGCACTATGCTACATGGTACAACAAATTAATCAGATTCAGCAGCTACCGTTTTTATGCAATTTGTTTATCTCTGAATGCCGATATTTTGTGTTCAGAAAACAGGTAACATTTTGTGTTCTGTCTCCCTGATTGCATATGTCACATCATCTGGTCGTCACATATTTTATTTCCTGTCACCTCCTTTTTCTTCTCAATAAAGTTCTTCATTGTATTTTGTAAGAAAAGCACTACTGTTCTCAGCATAGTGATAGTCACAACAAGTGTGCTTACTTACATGTCTGAGGGAGTAGTGTAAAAAAACTTTACTTGTAGACCATGTGGGAAAAGCAAATCAAGGAATGTCTGCATTCTGTTAATAGCAATATTACCAGCACATATGTCTTAAATGTCTGGGACAGTAAAAAATGCTCAAAAATTATTTTTATATTCAGACCATAAAAATCATTCAATTTTGATACAGTATATACCAGTGGAAGTCTATTTAAACAATTTGTTACCAAACCTTATTTAACAGTAAGGAACATACTGTCAGATATATATTAATATTTCCTTGCAGCAGATTAGATATTACTTACTATATCTGAAAGGGAGGTACATTTTCTGGGTCATAAATATGAATTACGAGGCAATTTTCCAAGCAATAAAATCCTAGATTGAACTAGAGTTCAGAAGCAGTGATGTAGTAATATATATGATATATATGGTGCACAATTACGATAAGACAAGTATTGTGTGGCGTGTTAGAAAACTGGCCTGTACTTACAGTGACAGACGCCGTGGAGGAATCATCATCATCATGCGCAGCCTGAAATCACAAGAAAAGATCGTTAAAATTTAAAACCAAAACAATGAAAACCCCATATCATTTTGGAAAAAAAACCCTTACCAAACTCAGGATAACAAATTATATTTTTTATGAATATTTCCTATCAAGACTATACCATAGTACCTTACTGAAAGCTTTGGAGAGTCTCTTATCCAAGTTTGTTAAAGACGGAACACGCATGATAACATTGTCTTCAGCAGCCATATTTCACCAGCAGCAGACGCCCTTTTCCATCATATAACAGAACATAAACCACGCTTCAGATCCTTTATCTTCCTACGCAAAACATGAAGGTTACACGAGGAGGGGAAAAACCACAATCCTTGTACTAAAGTTGGCAACCAGCTTGCACCCACCCCACTCAGAGCAACATCAAAAACCAAAATGTTATTCCACAACACGTAATCTGCTCCTTTCAGGCAGCCGAGTATTAAATTGCTAAATTATGCACAACCGTTTGGACATAGGTTATTTATGGCTGTACTGTTAGAGATAATGTCACTTAGATAATGCCCACTGCAATAAAAAAGGCCCCAGGTAAACACATTCTTTGTACTGTTATCAATTTCAATTTCAGCACGGAAGGGAGAAAAAGAAGAAATTCCAGACAAGATTTCTTACCATGATAGAACAGATGTTTTTATGCAGGAATCTCAGCATGTACGTTTTGTGCAATCTGCTCTTTGCTACTCCAGACATTTTTTTTTTATTTGGGAGGGGAGGGGGGGTCAAAGAAAATATACATTACATTGCCTCAGCAATCTTACTTTTATCAATAATTTATAAGACCTTTGTCTAAACAAGGTACATCTTACAGTGTGTGTGCAAATAGGAGTTTTTAGCAACAATTTTCAACAATAATATAATTTTTATCTATCAACATGACTTTATCAAACATGGTCAAGTTACATGGATAAAATAACACCTCTTAAATTACATGCCAATTCCAAAATCAGGCATATCAACCTTTGTGATCTTTGCCCTATCAACTCTCTCTGACCTGAGAGTCATCAATCATCTGGACCTGTAAACTATTAATCCTCTGTGACCTGTCAGTACTTGATGGGGAAGACAGCAGAACAGGTATTTTACCTGCACAGGTGTTATTTTGCCAAAACAACAGTTGATTGTGCAGGGGGGGGGGGGAGTGGAGGGGGTAATTTGGTCACTTTTTAGCAAAATAACTCAAATTTAATCAAATTAATAAATGTTTTTGCCAAATCATAAAAAGGTATGAAAAAATTCTACATTTTCTAAATATTTGTGAAGAAACACTGTCATACTATTACACATCAACAGCTTTACACTAATCTTTTCAATCCAATCCATTCATTACATCAGACTTTTTCTTACAGTCAACTATTTATTCACAATCAATTACTGCACTGAATTCAATGTATACAGTTAAATTATGTCAGGTGACCGTTTTCTCATCTAAAAAAAAACAAAAGAAAACTTCTGCCTATTATCACTTATCTTCATCAACTAAACAACCTACCTTAGGTTTAGGATCTCTTTTCCTAAGTTGTACTCTTTGCAGTTCTGTCTCAGACTGAATCTTGTTAAGATGTTTGGCTCTCTCCTTTACGCTCATCACTTCTTTTTCCTCTGTGACCTCTCCTGCCTTGTTAGGGCCCTGGAAAGATGGAAGAATATGTTGGTTATTGTGTAGTAATTTATGTGATTTCCCAATTATATGTGTATATAATTCATCACACAAGGTCTGGTGTATAATATGAGTCATCATTTTGCAGGTGAAATAGTGATATTGTATAATTCTATCTGTCTTGTCTTCTTCCCTCTTTCCATACCTTCTACTCTTTCTCCTTCTCCTGCTTCTGCCTACTGCCTCTCTCTCTCATTCTCTCTCTCTCTCTCTCTCTCTCTCTCTCTCTCTCTCATCAAATAACAACTTGTATTCAAACTTGCAACTGATACTAGTTATAATAATAATAATAATAGTCAATCCCCACACTTATCACAAGTATCATACCTCAATCCATCACAACAAGCTCTTCTTTACTATTCCAGAACACAATTAACAAAAACAAATCAAACCTTAAAATGAGTTGATCAAAACCAATATAACCTGAACTGCTGATTTGTCTTCCCCATTTATACAAATACTAGCAATCAAATCACCTGAATGACTCCTTGAATCCTGACTTAATCCAACTCCTTACACACTCTAAAACCTTGTTTCTACACTTTTCATGAGGATACTTTAACCTGTGACTGGTGGGACTTACACTGGATTATTAAACACTAAATCACTCACACACACCTTAAGTTCAACCTTTTTTATCCACACAATCTTATTATTTATAAGCTTTGATAACCTAGACTTCAAGATCAAATGGTTCAATTCTCTTTAACCAAGCCCTCAACAATAAAGTCAAAGTGGGTCTGAAACCAAGCAAAACATAAAAACCAGCTCCATCAATGTGGGGAGACTAAGGTGATGGCAATGCATACAAACACTATACTAAAAAGCCCACTTCAGTGCAGTATTTCAATGTGTATAATTGTACACAACTGCACTTCTTTGTTTATACTATATTACTAATATAAAAATGTTATGTAGTAAGTCACATAAGAGGTAAAAAAATTAATTTAATAGTGCATTAAGAAGTAGCAAAAATACCAATCCAATGCTGGATTGCTGATTTATTACTTAAAATTTATTTTTTCCTTTTATGAGATATCACACTATCGGATGAATCAGAACATTTACTAGCAGTCTCATTAACATTAAGCCTACTAGTACATTACTGTCTTCAATGTCTCTCAACGTAAAACCAGAGAATTTTAAAAAGTCATACAATCTAACCAGAACATACCTTTAATTCAACCTTTTTATCCACACAATCTTATTTAATTACAAGCTTAGATAATCTCCACTTCAAAAACATAAACAGTTAGCAAAAAGAGGTCCCCAACCACCTCACAGCACTGCTCCTCTCTCAATCTAAAATCATCTGATGAGACTGACAATAGTAATGAGAAAATATTACACAATGATTCCGCCTCTCCTGTCTTCAGGCTCTTAACAGGGACCAGGTTAATGTACAAAGGGTTCTTTTCTGATAAAAAAATACACAAAAGATAGCACTCTGGGTCTGACCTTGACAAGCAACTACACCTTCAAGTGGAATAAAACAGGTGGGGAAGACTGGAAAATAATCAACAAATATTGCACAATGATGTGACCTTAATCTATGCGGAAATGAGTATGCTTATGAATGAAGGGTTTTTTCTTGATCAGGAAGCTAAATAGAGCAACCTATAATGCCCTCTTCTTAGGTTTTTTGTGTGTATTTGGTTTGTTTGTATATTTGTGGGCACAAGATCTCAGTAAGTTTTATACAAACTTTGATGAAATTTTCATGAGAGCCATTAATTCATTCTAACTGAATCAAGGCCTTGGGTTTCTAGAATTTTTTTATGATAATTTTATTTTCTAATTTAAATTTTTTTTGTCGGATTGTATCCACCATTAGATGAAAATGGTACTTCTTAATTGAAAAATAATGAAAAAATAAGTGCAAAATGATTGTAGCTCAAGGTCTCTTAAAATGAGGTTAATGCAACGCCGTCCTTTGATGACAAATAAAAAAGTCGAATGTCAAGGTAAATGTGCTTGGCTCACCAATAAAAACCTGACCTTTTAGTCTTAATTGCAAGTTAGAAAGTGTGTGTGCCCCCTTCTCCTCCAACAGCATTATAGGCCCTTTTGGATTGCCTGATAACAGCTAATTTAACAAAAACTCAAAGCAATTAAAAATAAATTGTATGCTAAGCCAGACAAACATGAACTTTGTAGTATATTATGTTGTGGAGTTGTGCAAGCCAACAACAACATGTCTTCTTTTAATACTGTATTATTCTTTTTTTTTTTTTAGCAAATTTCATCATGTGTGTTACACGTCAGTCATACTGTCACATTGATAGGTTCTTCTAAAATCACACTTATTCTTCTTTAAAATTTGGTTATGTCCAGTGGCCTGCTTTAAAAGTGTGCGTGTAAGTGTGTGCAATTATTTGTACACGTACCTGCATGTACAGGTGTATGGGTGCATGTTTATACACATAATACACAGTGCAGAGCTATCAGTAATGTACTTATGTATATTTAAGAATCAATGATATATCATCATTATTATTCTTCACATTATTTTCATCATCATAATAGTATTATCAACATTACCCCAGTAATTTTTCCAATAGATAATCATTTTAGTGCTGCTGCTGCTTCCAGTGATCATTACATGAACCAAATTTGGCACTAAATTATAACTTAGAAAGACATTTTTGCATGCCTTGAATACCTACAATAAACCTTCCAGCAGTCACATTTTATCAGGTAGATTTCAGAGGGGGAAAAAAGTTTATGCGTCATCTTTTAGAGGTGGACATGAAAATACAGATAATTTAAAGTAATATAGATAACTTAAAGAAGTCATGTTCTGACTGATAAAAATCCATATAAACAATGTCAAGACTAAACATTACTAGTAAATGCCTCCAAGTTTTTACTTCCTTTTTTCTATTATTTTGACAACTGTCAATCAAATGCAGAAAATTCTCATAACAAAAATTCAAAACTGCTATTTGTCATACTCACCTTATAAATATTATACATTTTTGAAGGTATGTCTCCCATGATGCCAATGAATACACTTTCTCAGCCACACAATAAATGTATATATAATCCTACAATCTCTAAATCCACAGAATAATCCTGGTTCTCAAAAAATCTCTTCACTCCCTTAAATGATCACAAAATGTGTTGACATCTGACACCATAAAAAAAATGCAATGATACAATTTTTTTCTCATAATCATCTGGTTTCTCACAAGTGGAAGTGATCTTGAGATGTCATCAATTTGCAGACTACAGACAAAAAAAATGAAACCATGTACATTTGTACATTGAAGGAGAAATAAAAGAAGATAATCTGGTGAAGTGTTGATGTTTCTCCACAGCATGTGTTAAAGGCAGCAGCTGGGTGCTAGACCTCTGCATAAGTCACCATAATGTCACAGCTGTAAAATGTCACGCTGACACCATACCAATAATCTGTCACTGTGCTGATGTGACAAAGTGGACAGCTAAGATGTCAGTGACAAATGCCTGTGGCACGTTCTGGGGATTTTTTTAAGTTCAAGGTACCAAGTCCATCTCATTTGGTCACTATGAAATATTACAGCAGTTGGTGTGTGTCAAACAGTGACACTATGGACAGTCAGAATACCACTGACAGCCTGTGACATTATTTGGTCACTGTCAAGTATAACAGAAGTGTCTATATGTCACTGCATGTATTGGGTCACCACTTCAATATAACAAGTACATTCAAGACTAATGACATGAAGTCGGTAATTTTTAACCACAGTATGTCAATTCAAGTATGTCACCACGTATATGATAAAAAATGACAAAACTTTTGTGAGGATGTGACAGTCACGTCAATGACACATCAATAACAAGTCACAACCCCAGCATTATATAACAGCTGTAGTGTCACTAAATCAGCCTGTGAACAGTCAAGATAAGTTACAGTAATCTTGGTGGATGACACCAAATCCTGAAAGTATCTCCTGGACTCTGGTAGTTTATCAGTCAGTGCTATGGGCCAGAGTAATGGCCACTATTGGCACCAAGGACACTGACCACTGGGCCCTGTTGGTACCATGAAATGGCCACCACTGTCAAACACTGTATGGTACTCGCAGATTCCAGGCTGAAAATACTGCCACCACCAATGTCCATTCAGTGTCACTGTGATTTCAGGACATAAGAGATGCAAAACCTTTTACAATCAGAAGAAAGTTAATGCTATCACGGAATAACTATTCCTGCTAATGTCACAGTTGAATCTTCCTCCCCACACAGGATCTCTGAAAAGTATCCTTTAATTTGGTTACATATGAACAGTAGTCTCCAGAAACTGCTATCTTTGGATTACACCAGTCACTGGTGTCGTGAAATAAATGTCAGTGCAAATGTCAATACAATATCATGTCCTTAGAATAAAGCACCAGATTATAAAGTCTACAAGTACCTGGATACCCAACTGCTTTATAAACCAATATGTGAAGTCTTTATTATCTGTATATATCCAATCTGATCAATGTATCAAATGTTTTGAATACATGCATTTTCTGTCCTATAAGTAAAGAGTTATCTTTAGGTATCTATATCCATATTTGATCCAGTGGAACTATAATTAGATGTTCAACTACTTGAAGAGTCCCCTTAAAATATCTTCATGCAGATCCAATCTGGACAACAGATCAAAAAGCTGATATTTTTTTCCACCCAAAACGTGAAAAGTCAACTTCACTGATGATACAATGAATACTTCCATTCACCTTTGTGTGTGATGGAATGTCATACTATTATTTACAATTCTTTGATATCAAATACAGAACAAATTGTCAATCCTTTGGTAACAAAATACATTTAACTTTCCAAGTGGTGGATTTGACACTTCTTAATGCTAAGCGTACACTCCCCAATGCACTTGAATTCTTCTTTTGCTATCAAGTGGAGAGCTGCTCCCTTTTGTGAAATTTTCCAACCATGAATGCTTCCACAAGTTTCCTTGTACAACCTGAAGGAAATTTTCTACA